GATAATCGCGGGTGCCACGGTATGTATGAACTTCGTTAAGTGCACTCCATGAATTTCACCGCTGGCGCATTACACGTCGATGTTCCAGGATTGGCTCGATCAAACGTCGAACCAATTGCCTACCTCGTAATCCGAATGCTATTGTTCGCAATTCTCCGTCAGTACCCCATAGCTACGACTATCGGTACCACCGCGACCGCCACTCTTGTTTATCAGAGTATTTAATCGTATTAACATCGAACGCGACCCCGTTTCCCTTGTTCAACATTTCCTACGAGTACCGCGCATCCCGGGTATATAATATAAAATAATACCGGGATAATCAGCCTAGGGGATAAATCGATGCAAACCACTTTGATAGGAAATTAGTTGAATTTGAGGGGTCTTGCCAAGAGCTCGACACCCGAGGAGCGGATATGGAAATCTCGTTGTAACATAGCCTCTCCGGTTACTAAAAGGGGTTGCCAAGATACAGAGGCCACTCAAGATGGGCAAGGAAAGGTTAATAGAACGCAAGTGATCTCGACGTTAATACCTGTCCGACGCATCGCAGATTGCGAGTCACTCTTAAGATTTCGCCGGGATAAAGTTACGTTGGCTAAATTAATCGCCGTAGTGAAACATAACGCCTGTCCCTTGTGTGCGGTTCATTCGGCGTTTTAAGCCGAAACGTCGTCGTCGAGGTGCCATCGAAGCACCAGTACCGTCGATAACGACGCGGACCCTCTTCGGAGGAACGGCGAGTGTTGTCCAAGGATCCAGAATATGTAAGTGAAAAAGGCCCCGAGGGTCCTCTTCGGGCCGAAGACGAACGACGGTGGTACCGGCGACGGATACGTGGGACGAATCGTCGATGTAACGAGCTTTTCTCGACGAGGCAGACGATAGGAAACAACAGCTTTTACCTCGGAGAGCGAAAAAGGCGAAAGCTTTTGGCCCGCCAAATTTCTCGTCCTCCCGGAATTTCGCGAGTTAAGTTTAACTCGAGTGTCCTTGTCGGATCGATGCCTTCCCCTGGAATCCGAGCAACGCGAGCCAAATCGTCCTCGGACTCGCGAGATTCCCATAATCCTTGCAGAAGAAGGTGCATTCTCATCCTTAGACGCGTTTCCTCGCGCGCGAGGCTGCACGTCCCGCAAGGATCGATCGCAGGTCCTTTAATAAACGCTGCAGGACTTTTAGAAACGTCCCGCCCGAGGCGCTGGGCAAATTCCTCTGCCCTGATTGCGACGAAACATTTCCCGACGGTCCTCCAAGGTGGAGGCTGCTCCTTGGAGAGGAGCGAGATGACTCGCGGACTCCGCTCCATCCGGCGGTTGAATTGAATAATCTCGGCGATGACGATTGCGCCGAACAACTCGGTTAAATAATAGTTACCGAAGTAACGAGCCAGCGGAATGTTCGGTACATAGTTTGCATTGTTATAACGATTATTTGCGAGGCTGGCTCGAAGCCAGGACGGATTTGTCGCGGGGTGGAACCCTTAATAATCGGGGCCGCGGAGTCTGAAGTATAATATTCTCCATTTGTTCGAATAATCGGTTTATACAGGAAAGTAGCAATTTATTTCGGTGGGCACTCGATCGGTGAAAGTTCTCGTTAGCTCGGGTGGAGGCACTTCCTCGAGTTGAAAGAGCATTCCGATGCGGAACTTCGCGTGTTCTCATCCTCTGAGTAGTGTCCCAAACTTCGCGAGTTCTTCGTCCTAAATATTATTATGTATGTAAATATATATCAATACATCTTTTTTCACCGAATGCGGATTTTTCCTCCTCCCTTTCCGTGGCTGTTCCTCTGGGAACGTTGATTAGCAAGCTGTCGGCCCGAGTTCGTGGCCGCAGCCAGAACCAGACGCCATTAAGTGACCGGACCGTATTCCTATTAATAGAAGCGTTCTAAATGCCCCGGACATGGCCCAGCGCTAAAACGGAAGTGCCAAATTTAAGAATGATCCCTACGATTCAAACGATAGCGAACTTCTAGCCTGCCGATTGCTGCGTGATACTCTGGTGGGAAAAAATATCAACGACTCAAGTCCTCCAAAAGATTCAAGTCTGCCATGAAAAACGGATACCGATACCGAAAACCGACCAACGCGAGCATCTCGGGATCGTTTCGCGTTTATATTTCTAGGCAACAAGGGCTCTGAATTCACCGTGGAAACCAAAGCGCAAACGAGGACGAGGATGGCACGATGGGGCAATTACGTCCCGAGGACAATTGAATTAATACATGGTAGACCTCCGTAATGATCCAGTTTTGTTACCGGTCCATTCTAGGCAGCTGAAATAACTCCAACGGCTCTCACCGTTGGTAGGGAGGTTCAAAGAATTCCGTCCCGAAAATCGCGGCAAAGTTTGCAAACTCGCGAATATTGCCGCTCTCCCGATCGACTCTCCGCTCTTATGTAAATCCCTATGTGAAAATCCTGGTATTCAATTTTCCTACGTATTAAATATCATATCTCCTCAATGTTTGTAACGTAATTACCCGACCGAACGTGACTGCGCGCGCCATTTTGCCAAACCCTGTTATGGCTGTACTCTGCCACGAGGGCGAACTCTCGTAACGATCAATTACAATGGTTTCATTGAAAGTCTTCCAATTTCCATCGGCATACACATTATTAGCATCTACTAACTACTTCGCTAACGAACTTGGCGTATTCTTGCCGTTCGTCCGAGTCTTGCCTGTTTAACGCGGCTCGACGTGTACTAATTGGGTACGTGCGAGCGAGTCTTCCGGGGGAAATTGCAGCCACTCGCGATATTCCCTGGTCCCAGCAGTGCCAATAATCGCTGCAAGTCGCAGGAACGTGGAATTGTCAAAAATGAGCATTTCACCATCTCGGCGCAAAGGATTTCTGCGCGGAGGCCGGTAAATCTCCATCGCTGCCGAATCGGGCGGTTCTCTTCGCCCGCGCGTACAAATCGCCTCATAAATGTTCGTCGGATGTTCCCGACCTCGTGGTGTACGCAAATCCGCGCGTCGGATTGATGAAGTACTCGGGAAGTAGCAAAGAAGTTCAGGGCCTCGCATATTTCGCCGTGATATAAAGTCCCGCCGGTGACTAAGATTAACCGACCTCGGGTGATCTACGCGAAATCGAGATTTGTACACCCGACCCGGTGGGCATGATCGTCATTGACGTTAAAGCAGCGAGGCGGAATATCCGCGGTGAAGCACTGCATCCGAGTATAAATAAGGTCTGTCGATATTCCATCGATTCGTAGTCCAGAGACCGAAAAGTCTCCTCTCCTCCGGGTCGAACTTCGCCGCCGCGAAGATATGAGCTTCGAGTCCGCGCGGTTAAAAATGGCGCTGATCGACGTCGGCCCGCAAAAAACCTTCGAGAAATATGAAAGGCAGATCACGGCGAGCCCGACTCCGCGGGATTTATTGGAAAGAGGAGCCCGCGGCGCGGATTGGGGCCGGCTACATTTTTTAACGTCGATGGTCGATCTCTTGCTACCCCCAATTTGGGGTTTTCAGACCTCACAGGGTCGTATCCTCGCGAGAAATAATTCCACTCGGCACGGTTTCCGTTCCCCTGTAACCTGGATGTCGGATGGAGGTCCAAAAGGTTTCATCTCGAAAGAGATTACGAGGTCAGGGGCTGAAAAAAACTGAAACTGGTGCAGGCAACAGGGAAACTGGGGGAGATTCGAGCCGGCGAGATTTCGAAACACGATCCGTCGATCGATTTTCGAATTCTCGGAGATAATTTAACGCGATGGGCATAATTTACATACGGATGCAGGAGACGATTCGCTAGCTCGATGGAAGTCTTCCACGTGACGCGTCCGAAGGAGTTTCGATAGGTCGATCTCCGTTCAACCGGATAACGCTATCTTTCGAGTTAACGCGTTCACGGAGCATACTTGCAACGATCGTACGAGTACGAGTAAGTACTCTCTCTCTCTCGCTCTAATTAGCCCTCGTAAAGATATCCTCGTTGAACCCTAAACGTTAGACCAGCCTTCCAACGTCTCTTTAATTAACGGACTTTTACTCGAACCCTTCGATTGTCCTTCCATTTAATCTAGCTTAAAATCATCCAGCACTCTCGATCGTGACTTTCGGTCCCGGCAAAGGCTTAAAATTAGCGAGCGACTGACTTCCCTCCAGCAAGCCACGTGCGACCGGCCAAGTTTCGCGCGAGCAAAAACTCATCCGCGTCGCCTCCCCTTTCTCTCGACGTCTTCATCCGACTCAAGAGACAGGCGAAAAAAGCCGACACTTCGAGGCTCGTCGCGATTAAATGCTTTGAACCACCGTAATCGCAGCGGCCGAAGCCTATTATCCGCAGACAAAAACCGATTCGTTCATAAAATATAATTCCCACCTCCTTAAATAAATGATTACCTAAACACTTTCCTTCATTCTTCGAATGTAAAATTCAGTGAAATAGTAAATAACCCTCAGTGAAATGCCGACAAGTGCGGACGACTAAACATTTTAGTTCCACACCCCTCAAATGTCGATTATAAAATATTATTCATACATCCCAGAATAATAAAACAATTACCTAAACTCTTTCCTACGTTCTTCGATCGGTCAACTAAAATTCGATGCGTCGAGCTAAAAACCATTTCCTGAGATATATAGTAAATAACCCTCAGTCAAATGCAGACAAACGCAGATAAACGCAGTCGATCAAATGATTTAGTTCCATACCCCCCAAATATCGATTATAAAATATTATTCATACATCCCAGAATAACGAAACGATTACCTAAAAACCCATATCTATGTTCCTCGATCGATCAACTAAAATTCGATGCGCCGAGCTAAAAACCATTTCCTGAGATAGTTAGTGGATCACCCTCAGTCGAATCCAGACAAATGCGGTGGATTAAACAATTCGGTTCCATGATCCCCAAATTTCGATTCCACGTGGGAGAATCCCTGACCCACCCCAACGCACTTGCGTAGTCCTCGTCCCTAATTACTGACGGTGGAGGGTGAGAGTCGCGCCACCCTGCGTTGGTCGCACTAACCTTCGAACAGTCCCGCCAACAGGACGAGGCACACCATCTCGAAGGCGGTCGCCCCCATGGCGCAGGGCTGCCACCACTGTGGCGGGGGCGGCGGGCCGCCCGCTCGATTCGAAGCGACTCTGTCGGCGACCGTCCGCGGGGGCCTCCAGGGGGCCGAGTCGTCGTGGGCAGCGGCGAGGAGTCCACGGCCGGGTGGAGATTCGGTCGCGACGGGGTCGGCGGCGCGAGCGCGCTCTCTGCGGAGCCGAGCCGAACTGAGTGGAGCCTCGCGCGTTTCCGCGTGCGGCGCAGCGGGCGAGGCCCCCTCCACCGTGCTCGAGGCCCTCGGAGGTGATTTACGCGACGTCCCCCTGGCGTCGCGGTCCTTCTTTCGCCCTAACACCGCACCTGGCCGGCCGGAGACAACGGACGAAGGAATGAATTTCCGCAATTTCCCAGGCCCGCGGCTCGCGGGAAGGGCCGCCTCTCCGGGAACTCTTAAATTCTGATTTCGAAAGTTTGAGGGGCCACGCGGGAGTGGAGAAACTTTTTGTCTAGGATAAGGCAGCGGTTTAAGGCGCGAACTCCCGCCTTTACGGCGGACGGACCTCCGAGGTCTCCCGCGCCCGGGGTGGCGCGAAACTTCCCTCGATAAAAGTTCCGAGGCGTTGGGCGGCCTCTTAAACCGTGTAGTTTGCGCTTCCGACGCCGAGTCGACCTGGAAATGTCTCGGGCGAGAAGGTGGGCGAAAAAGTTGTCTCGCATCGGTCGCATTTAAGATAGTAGTCGCGAGATGCGGACGAGGCCTATTGCAGGGACCGAGTCGGGGCGCGGCGGCCTATGTGCAGCAGAGTGCACCGTGGCTGGGCGTTATTTTTGGCGCCAGACCGCCGACCTCGATGGAATCTATTAGGGACGGTGAAGTCACGGCTGCGATCCGCGTTCCCTCGGGGTCGGGCCGTTTTCGGAGCGAAGGACGCGGTGCGAAGATCGTGGAAGACCTCCCTCGGCCGTGGTCGAGCGAACGCCGGGCGATATTTCGAGCGGAAACTTCGGCCCCTGGACCTCGAGATTCCGTGGCTCGCCTTCCTCCAACGCGGCGTTTCAGGAAGGCCCATAAGGGCGTCCTCGCTGGGAAATCCAGAGTCGAGGTCCAGCAGTTTAGAGCGTGGTTTAAGTTTGGGTGGGTTCCATGGTAGACGGGAAAATTGCGTCTCGACGCAGAGACGCGCAAGGATACTTCTCAGTGGTCGCGTCGAGGAGCAAAAGCTCGGTAGAAAAAGAAGGAAGGATCGATTCGATACCGCGACGAATTCCGCGGAGGAATTCTTCCAGGCCAAGACCGGGCGGAAGCGGCACGGAAATTTTCCGAGCAGGCGGGGAGATCAAAAGATCCTCCGCCTCGGCATTGCGGAATGGCTCGCCAAAGAAACGAGACGGTCCGGCCGTACCGCGTCTCGCTTAACCCGAGCTTCTGGCGAGATATCGGAATTACTTTGACGCGTAGTTAGAGTCAAAGATCCCCTTAAAGGGGAGGCGGCTTAACAACGCCACCTTCGGAGAGGAAACGTCAAATCGCTCAATTTACGCGGAGCGATGCGCCCGAAATTCCTGGACGGAGTCGATGGCCGCGGTCGACCTCGCGACGGACCCCGACGGAGACGTTTCCGCAACCGGCTCTTTGGGAAGAAATATCTGCCGGCGCGGAAATATCCGGAACGGGGAGCGATCTAGATCGAACCGGCGGAGGAGACCAGCAAGTGCCGGGGAGGGCAAAGAGCGGGCCCGAAACCCCTTTCGAGCGGTTTCCGGAGCGGATCCCGGCCGCGGACGGCGGTCGGGTTCGCCCGCGATTCCGCGCACGGCGAATAAACGCGACGTAATTTAATTCAGGCCGAACTCGTAAGTGACCGAAGTATATTTGCTGGGAACCCGGCGAGGCCCCAACGCCGCCCGGGAAAAGGCCGGCTTTGACTTTGACGCCCAATTAAAAGTGCATTTTCCGCTTGCGCCGACGCCGAGCCCCGTTAAAAATTTCACTAACTTTGACGTACGTGGCGCCCATTCCACGCGGGGGGAGCGACACTTGGCTTTGGCGTTTATTCTTGCGTGCACGAGTCGTTGGAATAATTGCTTTTCAAAGATTTCATTAGAGGAGTAAACGCGCGGGAGGAATAACGAGTCGCGGCAAGTCTCCTTCCTTCGAGTTCCCCCCTACGTAGAGAAGCTTCGGGGTGGCGTTTTACCCGCTTCCGAGTCTTTCGGGCGCGTTTCTCTGCCGATTTCCGGTGACGCCGCGAATCGTTGACCCGCGCTTTTGAGAGTCGGCGCCGTTTGCTCGCCTACCGTAAGGGAGCGTCGATATTTCATCTACAAGCCGCGATTTTGTGCCGAGCCGCATTCACTACGGCATCCGGGTTTGCGGAAACTGTCAGCCGGGCGCGCATCAACATGGCAGGAGCGAATCCATCGAATTAGGGAATAATTTGCGCGAGAGAAATTAATGCGCTCCAGTTTGGAGCGATGGACCGCGCCGGATCGACGGAGTCGATAACGAAGTGCGATTCGAGGGAGGATGAGGAAACGGAGAGAAGAGATTGGATCGTCCTCGATTGAGTCAATGCCGTAGTGTTAATTTTGAATTAGATTTAGATTAATTAATAAATCAGTCCGACTACGCTAACGATGCATGCGTACCCTTCGCGCCGTCATAACCTCTCCACCAAAAATAGACGACCGCCATAAAACCTCCCGTGGTCAAGGCGCTCGTCTCCCTTTTTCGATGTTTTAGAGGTATCTTCTTTAAGGGCACCCATCTGTCGCTCTCGACTCACATGGAAACCATTAAGTCGCAATCGTTTCCAAACCTTCCGAGAAAGACGATTTATTTCTTTAGCGCTTAAGCCTCGCTTTTTTAATTTCGACACGTACTTGATAAGAGGCAATTTGTCCCCAGATTCCTTTGGTCCTTTTCCGAGTTCCTTCTTAGAAGTACTTCCCCAGGAGTCCATATTGCAGTCTCCACCTACGCCTCCTTGACTGCATTAACTTCCCTTTCCACGCTCCTTTGCCCCCAATCGGCTGCATCGCAAAATGCAGCCCGTTTTTCCTCTCAACCTGTCCTCGGTATTATTATATCCTATCCTGAGATTTTCATCGCCAAGGCAGAATTTCTTCACCCTACAAAAAAAGAACTTTCTCCGGCACCGACGCGACTAGCCATTAGTTTCAGCGGGAACTCTTTCGCTCGGGTCGTAATACACAAACATTGTCACACAGGTGTACGTGTTCCGTGTACGCAAATAAACATACATTGTTACATGAAAATAGTCGCAGGAGTTTTCGTTAAAGTTGGCGCGAGATCCGTCGCCCTGTAGTGCACGGAACAGAGATTTTTCTAGAATAAGACCTTTCTAGTGTAAGTACGCGTTCAAGGCTTTGCGGGCAAATTCGCACGGGTTTCTCGGATTCTCCGTGGAAAGCGACGCGTTTCGTTTTATTCCCTGTCCCGAGAACACCGAGCGAAGGCCGAAGCGCTGTATTTGCAGCAACGTAGGCTCTTGCGGACTCATCGTTCCTCTTGGCCTCCCAAGCATGATTTTGTCGAGCATAATACCCTCCAGACCAGTGTGGACCAAGGTAACTATTCCGTGAAACCCTCGCCAACCGGGAACTCCGTCTTGCAAGTAGTCTCTGTAATAATACCGCTGACTTCCGGATATTATACACCCGCTCTACTTTCCTCGAGTCCGAGTATCACCTTGTTAACATTTGCATTAAATGTCGCGCGTCCTATTGTTCCGCCCAACTGGGGAGCAGAAATCAGTCACAGATTTATTCTGCCTAGTTTTCACGTGCTTAAGATTATGACAAAGACTCTCGACTAGTCGCCGTTCCAAATTTTCGACCGCCTTCAATTATGTTCCAGTCGTCGAAAGTTTGTCGGTGCTGCCATTTACCGGCCGAATGGAGAAACACGATCGACAGACATTTTGCGATAACTTGGATTTTTATCGATCAGAATGAAAGTAAAGACAAAGACCCAGAGGATAAATTGTAAGTCTTGAAGTATTGAAAACAACGTGATTATTTATTGCTAAGAAATTTTAGAACTTGAGGGATAACTTTCCTACTGATGAATGGTAGAGGTATGTTATTATGTAGACAACGGCAGTCGGTAACGCCATCATGGGAGACTTCAATGTCGGTAATGTTGCCGAGGGTCGATAAAACGCCACATATAAATTCGAGAATTCCTTCGTTCCGTTTCATTCTAGACGCGAACTGACTTCGAGGGAAGAATTCAGAGGTCTTCATTTATTTTTCTGAGTATCGGAAGGGGAAACTTAATTTAAATTTAATTTTTCTTCGCAGTCAGTTCTCGAATAGGTGCGATCTTAAGAAGATGGCACCGATCTTCCATGAGATGAGGAAGGAAAGGAGAGTGGGGGAATTTTGTTTTATTAACCGCTAACCAAAAGTGCTCAATGGGGGTACAAGTGTGGATACGGTCATGTAACCAAGGGTACCAAACCCGATCTTAACGCTTCCGCGGACCGAGAGCAATTGACGCTCCGCGCGTTCGCCCGGCCTAATATGGGCCTCCACCGACGCGCCGCGCATGCTGCGCGCGCATCCAAGAGTATCAGTCTGAACATTTTTTTTTTTAATTTTCAGGGCCTTTATCACATCTGGCGTGTTATTCTGCTTTTCTTCCGTACCTTGCGAGTATTCTTCCCTCGATTACAAAAACATCAGCATTTCAGTGAAACTGTTATTACAGTTAAATCATTTTCTACTTTACCAGCCGCAGAGAACCGTTCTGCAAGGAAAATCATATCCAGCATTCCCAGCTTTAGCGACCGAGTAGAAACTTCCAGAACCTCCATCTACGAAGGATAATCTCACAGGATACCCATCATTTTTACATAACCACGAAAACAATTAATTTCCAGCTACAACAGAGATGAGCAGAGATGAGTTGGGTTAAAAATCCTCAAATTCTAATAAGCAATTTTGAAATATATTAATCAACTATGTATTAGACATTTTTGACGTATGATCGTCAAAAATGATTATTACGTGTTAGTACCATCCTTATGGGATGGCACCGATCCTCGAACTAGCTGTGAGTAGAATTTAATACAGATAAAATTTCACCTTCCCATAAAATTAATAAGATAAGTTAAGGTTAAAGTCGAAGAGGGCACCACGAGTGTTCGTCCCTTACCATCAAAAGCGAGCAGTGCCGGTAAGCGTAGGTAAGCCACCACCGTCAACACTCGCATGGTATTACCATCACGAGTACGTGAGCTGTCAACGGCTACTGGTAGATGACACCGC